GTTAATCTGGATTTTGATTGAACTTTTGAAACTGACCTTGGCATGAACTGTGTTAAAAAATCTCTCTGCTGGAGCGCATGGGCTTAACCTCGCCGTTCCATTTGCTCACGAGGTCCGGGGCCTTGCACCGTTCAATCCGTGATTTGATGGATAGGAGAGGAAACTGAGAGATCTTTCTAGAGACGGGTCAGGCCCCAACTGGATAGGATGGCAGGGCAGCCAGGCTTGAGATTTAAATGCCTGTCTAGTCAATATCTAGAAGAGAGCCACACCAAAACTCTGTAAGAACCAGAAAGTAGAACCAGGGTCCCATCAAGAAGCTCAGCAGTGGAAAATGTGAGCATTCCTTGTAACAGTTCCCACAGCCACCCACCCCATAAGAAGAATCAAAAATGGCAAGTAGTTGGATCAGTGCCTAGAAAGAACTGAGGAGCAGGTCTTTTGCAAGGTTAACAGCTCTTGATGACTCACTCCAGACTAAACCATCCTCAAATATTTTGCATTACAACAGGGGTTGCTTTCAACAGTATATTACTCCTGGAATTTATGTATGTATGTATGTATGTATGTATGTATGTATGTATGTATGTATGTATGTATGTATGTATGTATGTATGTATGCATGCATGTATGTATGTATGCATGTATGCATGCGTGTATTTATTTATTTATTTAAATTTATACCCCATCCATCTAGACCAACGTCTACTCGGAATGATTTCTGCCCCAGCTACTGTGAGGGTTGAGAGGGAACAGGGAAGTCATAGGTGGTGGTAGTGGGAATTATAACATAGTCTTTGCTACTTAGAAATTCCCGGGGCTTAGACTGGCAGAACCTTGCTTTGGAGTGATTCTTTCCTACAATATACTGTATGCCTTGGCCGTTGCCTCATAATCATGCTAAGTTCCCACACTGTGGATGCGGGCTGTCATCTCACTCCATTAAGTTACTTGCATTGAGCACAGCTTCCAGTTGGAAACCAGCACGGACTCATGCAGAGGCTCTAAGAAAGTTGGCAAACCCTGTTGCCTTTCCTTTGGGGTAAGATACATTGTGCAGCTACACACTTTGCTGATGCAAGGCCAGGTGAAACAGAGCTTGATTTAAAGGAAGAAAAAGAGAGCATCATGAAACGTTGACCTTCTGTGAACGGGTGTTTTTGAGTTTCTAGGGTGTGTGAGTGTATGCCTGTGTATAATATAATATATTATTATTAAAAGATATGGGAGTGTGTAGATTCATTCCGAATGAGTGGGTTTCCTCCCAGTACGGAGTTTGGAAATGACTTCTGCACATTTTGACAAGTCTGTTACAAGAGCAAATAAGCACGAATAAAGACTTGAAGTATTTTGTTGCTATTACTGTGAACTTTTAAAAAATAGCAAGAGACACGAATGTGATACTGGAAACCCAATTTTCTAACAGTTTCTTAAGATGAACACACGACTTCTTTCCATTTAATACTTGGCAAAGTCTACAACATTGAGCCAAAGAGAAAATGTGTGTCTTTCTTTCTCTTTCAGAGAAGAGAAAGATCAATTTTGCTTTAGCTCAATCCATCTGCCATGAAGCTGAGGAAGTGTTATAAGATTTGTGAGTTTGGATGCACTTCTGTTTGTTTTGTGACTCAAAATTTCTCCGTTAAAAAACAAAACAAAACACTAGAAAAGGGTTTTTTTGAAAGTTGGCAGAACCTTTTCTACCTTGCTGGGCCTAGTTCAGATTCATTTGATCCTGAACCTACTTATTTGTCTTCAACACCGCATTTTGACTGAATCAAAATTTCCTTTCATCATCCTTCTTCAGCTTTCACATCTATATATAGTAATTGGGAATAAATTGGGAATATCATGGTATGGACGATCTGGGCCATGTTCTTTGTAGATGCACAAGTCCACTTAAGGATCTTCCTTAATTTCTTCATAACTACCCTTCCAACTCTCTGATTTCTTGGTGGCAGCCCCCATTTTGAATTATGACTGCCCTACAGTATGGAAAATCTTCAACAATGTCATTAACATAAAAGTTATGAAGTTCTTCTGCAGTCACTACTTTTGTCTCCTTAACATTCAACTGTAATTCTGCTTTTGCAATTTCTTCTTTAAATTTGCTCCTTTAATTATTGCAAGTCACCTCCCCATGGATATTCTTCCACCATTTTCACTCCTCCTCACTCTGAATCCAGAGCAACTTTTCGAATGATATATTCTGCATACAGATTGACCAGGCAGGAGAAATGAAATACACCCTTGTCTGAAACCTTTGCCTATGGGAAACCATTCTGTTTCTTTGTATTCTGTTCTAACAGTAACACCTTTGTCCAAAGCAGACATAAGAACAATCCAATGTCGAAGAACATCCATTTCTTTTAGAACGATCCACAGTTTCTCAGGATCCACACAGTCAAAGGCTAAATTCTTCACAGAGGAGAATAACATTGCTAATGTGAACAGAACCAGATGTGATGCTCCAAAGATGCCTAATGCTGGAAAAAAGGGGGTTGAGGAAATGGAAATTGCAATAATAACAGCACCTAATGCAGGCAGATCAAGCTGAGATCCCGTCTATGTAAAGTCATCCATGTACTTGTAGGATATTAGGGGCATAACACATAATTATGCATTGGTGTCTCAGGGACTGGGCAAATCCAGGCATGGAAAAGTTACTTTTCTTTACTTTTGATTTCAGCATCTAGAATTCCCCTGACATGAGCCAAACCTTACCCTTCAGGCAGTCTTTCCCTTCGTGACTGGCTGCCGGAGAGGGGCTTTAAATGGCTTGTTGTGCCTTGCTGTTTTTAAATGTGTTGTTAGGATTGATGTAATTTACGTTTTTAATATAACCTGTGTTTAATTCTTTTTAAAATATTTGTATACTTACTGCTTTTAGCTTTTAAATATTGTCTTTTTAATGACGTCAGCAGCCTTGGGTCCCTTTTAAGGGAGAAAGGCGGGATAAAAATATTTTAAATACATGAATAAATAAAGAGCCTTTGCACACACTTACGCACACAGAGACACGTGTCAATTTTAAGACTAAAAAAAAATAGTTTAAGGGGGAATCACAACTCACTTCTTCAGAAGCATGAAGATGACATGAAGATGCTCTTGGTCAGTCATAATGACATGCTCATGGTTCAGGAAGTTCAATTAGCGTCATGTTATTTAGCGTCATGTTATTTAGTAGCCTGCCACCCCTAAGATCAAGATCTGAAACTTCCTTCCAGATTTCTCTTCCAGGAGATGCTGGTGACAAGAGAAAGGACATTTTTCATTGTGGCTCTTGTGGCTATGAAATAATTCCCCCCACAAGCCTGCCTGGATCCCAACATTGTGATATTTTTGAGGGTCAGCTTCATTCATTTTTTTAAACGCCCTGACCTTTGGCAGAATGAGATGGGCCACCTCTAAATATTGGCACAAGCCAATTGTTCATTCCCCATGTGTTGTTGTTTGTAAGGGCAAGCCTGAAAGGATATTTTATAAATAAAGATAGATGTAACACTTGCATTGCTTTCTTTCTCCACTGTTGTAAGCCAAGAGTCCATTTTCAGAAAAAGGTATTTAACGAAGGCAATAAACGACAAACTGGAATAGTTTTGATATTCTTTTAAAAAGCAGAAGTGGGAAGATGGTAACGCTAGCTGTAAGTCAACAAAGAACAATAGCGCCCAGTTATTTAATGACTCTTTTTTAAAAATAACCTCCCATTCCCAATTAAGTATGTCGAAATGACTACAGCTTGAAGGCAACTATAAAACTTCATAGGGGGAATGTGAGTTCAGCTCAGTTCAAGTATTTTAATTCAGTGCCCCCTGTTATGTTCTCGGACTACAAGTTCCACACACCCTGGGCACTAGGACCTCTGGGAGTTGTATCCCAAGGACGTCTGGAGACTTAAGATTGAGTATCAAGTGTTCTGTGTCCTTTCTGCCAGAGTCTGAGTTGGTGGATCATGGGTTTCTGTGTGTGGGTAAAACAGTTTTTGTTTTCTAAGGAGCTTAGGAAAGTTGCCTTTGGGGACTACAGATCCCAGAATCCCCCAGCCACAGTGGCCGGGTGCTCCATGCTGTGGATTTACCACCCTGGAGTTCCGCGCCACCCTGTCTGTAGACAATTCTCTTTGTTGCGAACACCAGCCCGAGAGTAAACGAGATCTTTTCGCCACTGATGTTTATTTATGACCACATGCGCTTTTGACAGACATAGGGAAGGAGTTCCAGCGAACAGCGTCCTAACCCGGCATGAGAGATTTGCAGCTGAAGTTAATCAAATTAAAATGCAGTTCTAAAATACATGGAACCACTGCAGATCATCTTTCCCAAGGACAAAGAGAAAGAGAAAGAAAATAACAACCCTTGCGTGTAAAGTTCCTGGCATCGGTTCATTATGGGATGGAGGGAGGGTAGGTGGGTGGGTGTAACTAAGAGAGTGGGGGTAAACAAGATTAGCAACATCCTAAATACAGCACCGTCCCCTTAAAGTTAATCCTTCAGTCTTTCACTTCCACCCATTTATCTGTCACGGCTTCAGATATTTGGAGAAAAAAAAAAGCATTCTGCCTCATGCAAAGTCATAACTCGTGACTTTGCGGTATCTCTTCTTGGGCCGTATCATGTGAGTTCCTACAGGACCGGCAACAGCAGTAATTCTTACTGCCCTTCACATCCAAAGAAATGGGAACAATAAATTCAGGTTCAGCGTACCGGTTTCAGCTTGCCCCTAGGCGTTGGATAGCAGGTAACCGTTAAAAGGACACGCAGGGTTCAAAATAGTTATTTCAAAAAGCCATTTGCTGTATTGAAGAGAGGGGGGGAATGCTGAAAAGCCATTTGGATTATAGGAGGAGGAAATTCTCCTTGTATTAATAATAACGATAATCATCATCATAGAACTCCGGAGCTGGAAGGGACCTGATAGATCATCACATCCAGCCCCAGTCCAGGAGACACAGCGGGGAATCGAACTCCCAACCTCTGGCTCCACAGCCAGAGACTTAAACCACTGAGCTATCCAGCCTATGTAGGTATGGAGGATATTTGGTTAAAAAAAAAATTTGTACAGTTCCAGAAGGGCCGCAAGCAGACACGTCAACGACGTTCGTCAGGATCACAAAGACGTCCTCCAAGACGAGAGCCAACCACTGGGATAAAACGCACATGGAGAGTTTGTGGGAAGTTTTGGGTTCTCGGCCCGTCTAATTTTTGTTCAGGACGGCTGGGACTCGTTTAAGGGAAACCGGTTGGGAAGAGGCTCAAGGGCTGGTTCTCGTTGGTCGGAAGAGGCGATCGGTAGCCGTCAAAGGTCCGTGGAATGCTTCCGCTGGTGGAACCCGAGCTGTTGCTGAGCGTCTCGATGCTTCCTTCCCTCTGAAGCTCTGCGGTGGAAAAAGAAAACCCCACAACCCAGGTGTTAAGAAGAAATTAAAAAGGAAAGCCAAGGAGCAGCATCCGTAGTTGGCCAACTGTTGGGTTAAGAAGAGTGCTTTAAATTCATGGCTTGACCTTAACACACACTGGTGTGGGGATATGCAGTGGAACATGTGTGTATAGAACGGAGGGAAGGAGGCAGGCTTTGGACTCCGCAACCAGATACTTAAAACCACTGAGCTATCATGGGGGAACCTCTTTCAACCGGAGAGTGATATAAGATTTTTTGGGGGCGTGTGTGTGTCTCACAGGCCACATTGGGAGGGGCTTAAAGTAAAAGAGTAGGACCCAAAATGGCAGCATCTTTTAGCTTGAAGGCATCTAAATTTCCAGGTAGAGAATTATCATCAGTGGTTGACCCTTCCCTTCTTCTGAGATGCCCTGGGATCACTGTGCTGCTTGCCCAAGGCCGCCCAGGCTGGCTCCTTCTCCCCAGAGACACACGGGGAAAATCGAACTCCCAACCTCTCGCTCCACAGTCAGAGACCTACCCCACCGAGGAGGGCATTTTTGCTCAAGCACTACCCATGGAAATGCCTTCTTCCTTCCAGCTATGAAAAGTCCTGGAGCTGAGGTCTCTTTCTCATGTGGCTCCGTAGACTTGGGTAAATAAATACAGTATTTGGATTGCTATAGTCCCCTGGCCTGTGGGACATCGCCACAACGTTCACAAACAGAGCACAAGGCTGCATAGGCGCCGGTTTCTACACCCTCTAAGAACAGATCCTGTAACCAAGAAAGTAACGACAACATGACAGCTACACCCCAAAGGAGGGTTAAGTCATCCCTTGCTAAGTTACAGAACACAGTGATACCTTTGTTAGTGGGGAAAAAAGAGCTCATTTCCACTGATTGGTTATTTCTAACACGTTCTTTCCACCTTTTCCCCACTGGCCTACCTGATCGATAGACCAAACAGGCTGCCGTGACCTTAAACGCCGTAAAAAAACCCCCAAGGCCGGCTTGTTAATACTACCTAAAGTCGTGCATGTCTTCATGGAAAAACACCAAACCAAATGAAACCCAACCAAAGACTTCTTAATTTTCCTCCCATGATCCTCATTCTCCCACGAGTTCAGGAAGCAAAAAAAACCCAGCAATTTAACTCGGCAATGAGCAGCATATCCCTCACTAATGCTGGTCTTATCCTGTCTGATTCTGGCCCTTTTATCTTTCCCTCACACACAGCTGGCTTTGGTTATCCATCGCGCGCGTCACTCCCTGGGTAGCCGTCAGCAGGAAGACGGAATGTGGGCGAATGCTCCACCCCAAACATCATGTCGGCTTCTGAACTCCACATGAGGTTATCCATCTTTCTCTCTTCCTTTTCTTCTTCTTTTAAATTATTGATTTGTGTGTGCGTGTAGGCCTGCCAAGATTGTATCTTCGCGTTTTCTTTGAAAAATAGGAAGAAGAACCAGAGAGGGGAAATAGTGTGAACCTTTCGTGGATGCTGCTTGTTTGTCAAGCCAAAAGCAGAAAGGAGTGAAAAGGGCTCCAAGATGCAGAAATGTTAGGACATAAATTCACAGGGAGGGATCAAAGCCCATTAATAGAACCACTTGTTTTTATGTGCAGAAGGTCCTAGTTCTCAAGGCTGGCAAAGATCCCACCTAGAAACCTTAGCGAGCAACAGACAGCGAGCATAGGATGTCGCCAGATGTTCTTGGACTAAAACTCTCCCAGAAGACTTCATCACGAACTGCGTTGGACAAGATTTCTGGGAGCTGTAGTTCAAGAACATCTGGGGGGCCAAGCTTGGGAATCACCATTCTACATGGACCACTAGCTGGCAACTAGGAAGCCAGTTTCCCACATTCCTATTTATGCGGAAACGCAAGGACTGGCGGTTATCTCTAAAAGAAGGCCCAAAACTCAGTGGGCAAACACAGCCTTTGGGTGGAGACGGTCTCGATTTCTATCTTTAGCACCTCCGGATCAGGCTAGATGACCTTGTTTGCAACACTCCACACATTCTGGACGTCAGCTCCCAGAAGCATCCACCCACTATGGTCACTGGCAAGGTTTTCCGGGAGTTGTACTCTAAAACATGTGGAGGGCTACAGTTTCCCTAGAACAGTGGTCCCCAACCTTGGGCCGCCAGATGTTCTCAGACTACGACTCCCAGAAGCCTTCACCACCACCTCTGCTGGCCAGGATTTCTGGGAGTTGAAGTCCAAGAACATCTGGAGGCCCAAGGGTGGGGAACCACTGCCCTAGAACACTCCTGGTCTACTGGATTTGAAGGACTGTGGACTCTTCCCTAGGTTGTCTTTGCACAACTAAACCTTCTGGCTTGTCCTCTCTCTTCCAACTTGGGTGCAGTTCTTGAGCAACTGGAGAGAGAGGGGGCCAAACCTCAAAACATCTTTTTCTCCCACTGTGGACTGCATTGATTTCTCTATTGGTGGATCCACATCCTTTTATCCCAGTTTCATTAGGATCTCTGTGTTCCGTGGCTACTTTCCATGCACAGGTCTCGTCCTTTTTCTTTCAACCTGTTTTCTTCCACCATCTTTTTCTTCCCCAGACAACAAGGCAATTCTCTTCTCTCAGACTCCTCCAAAAATGTTATTTTGGGAACAAATAGATCAATACCAGCCACTCTTCGTAACCACCCTGGGACAGCTCGCCAAGTGTGAGGAAGAGCCATCCAGAAAGCAAAAAGAGCCACCTCTGCTTTCAAGGTTAGACAGATTGGAAATCCCTGTAAAGCAACACATTTCAAACCACACGCAAGAGAAAGCAAGGAGGCGTCAATTATAAGCAGGACAGAAAACATTGTGACGAGTCCATCAAAACGCAAGCTTAATTACTTAACTCTGATGGACGTCCTGAAACACCTATGAATTTCAGGCCAGGTGAAATTCATAACAATTCAGGATTGACCTAGGCGTACTATCAGGTGAGGTGACACAGTCCCGGGGTGGGGAAAAAAACACAAAAATAAAAATTACGTTTTAAAATCTTAGGGAAAAGTTTTGGGGAAGTGGGAAATCTGTCCGTTTCGCCTTGTGTGAGATGTTCTTTCCATCCCAAACGGGGAGAAATTTGCCACTGCATGTCCTTAGAAGTCTGAGACGAGAAAAGTTAATTTTTGTAACTTCCAAATTTTGTAGATGGGTAGGCCTATCTTCTTTTTCTCTCACTTCCTGCTTCCTCTTTCTTTTAACGAGAAAAGAGAGTGACGTGACTTATCCACACTAGCTGAGCAAATCTGCATACACAGAATTCAGTTTTAAGGGCTTCTGTAAAAATGTTTAGGGCTCTTTCTAGAGGTGGTCTGAGGGGGGGCTGAGGGGCGTCAGGGTTGGGAAACAGCTGTGTTTGCAATTCCTGTCCTGGGGATAAAAAAAAGTTCCTTTTAGGGGAGAAAATACAAAGGCCAAAAGGAAAATAAGCAGAAGCCGAGGTGGAGGGACCAAAAAATAAAAAGAGATAAATCTCCCAAAGTGGATACAGGGAGAACCACCACCTAGTAGGTCCTGTCTGATCTCAACAATTGCTGCATGATAGAAAACAGAATCGAGTGGCACCCTAAAGACAACCCAATTTTTGCCTGGTGGGAGCTTTCCTGGGACCCAAGCTATTTCACCGAGAAGGTTTCTGACCCCAAACGGTGAGGTCCGCCGGGCCGCAAGATCCCCTACGATTTTTGCTGCAACGTGCAAACTTCCTGAAGAATTCTGGCGCATGAGAGTGGCTTTTCGTTCCGCTGGCTTGAGCTCCACGCAACAACAAGAGGATGTTCAGAGACAAAGGAGACTCAGCCATGTAATGCTACCATTATGGAAAGATTCTCTGCTCAGGGTACGGTCCCGCCACTGATGCTTTTTCTCAGCTCACTCTCCCTCCAGGTCCCTCACACTCTTTCCGGTCTCATCCCATGACACTCAGTCAACCAATGTTCGGCACATGCTGGGTCCTCACTGAGCTATTTTGGGATGGTTTGTTTCCCCTTCTTCCTTTTGCCCCCCCCCTTCAAAGACTTTTCTACACACACCATCATCTTATTATCATCTTAGAACTCCCAAGCTGGAATGGACCCTATGGGCCATTCATTCTGGCCCCTGTCAAGGAGGTTCAGTGGGGAATCAAACTCCCAACCTCTGGCATTTCTACTCTGCTGAGGCACTCGGAGCAGCTTACACAGTATATTATATATATATATATATAAACAGAGATGGACTCTCCTTGTAGGTTCTAAATAGACATAAGAAGAAAGAGGAAAACAACTCAGATTTTTTACAAGATTACTGGGGATGATGCAATAACTGATGGATAGCAGTTGCAGTGAAGTATGTAATTTATTGGGAGAATTATAAGGGAGGGAAGGACAGAAGGATGGAGGGATGGAGGGATGACCATACAACCTCCCCACCCAAAAAAAAGCTGTCACCCCTGCTGCCACTATTGCCGTTCTGGCTCCTTTTTAGAAAGCCTGCCAAGTGCTGGGTCTGGGCATCCTTCTGCGTAAGCATTTGAGAAGAAAAGGGAGCATTAGTTGAGCTCCAGAAGCTTTGCGCTGTGAAAAGTGACTGACGTGTGAAAACGAGGCTGCAATTAGTTCTTTCCACCAGCGCTCCCTCATTCAGTCCAGGGTCACTCCTTCAGCAGGCTGGGCTGTTGAGCCTAACGCGTCGTGACAGGTGGAGACGATGACCAAGAATCCTCGAATCCAAAGCCCCGGTCGGCCCGGCCGGCCGCAGCTTCTCCAGCTGCTTCTCTCCCCTCCTTCCCTTCCCCGCTGCCGCCACGTCGTCGGGGCCCCCCCCGACGATCATCGGATCATGTCTCCTGGCTTGCCTCTCTGCAGGGATGCGTGAATCTCTTGGCTGGGGAGAAAGGATGGACCTGGGGCTGCCGTTTGGCCTTTCCTTTGACTCTTCTTGCTCCTCCGTCCCTACATTTCCTTTACATCCTGGAGAAACTGTTTGTTGGAGCATCT